CTCTGGATCTGTTCCTGGGCTCTAGATCTGGACCTGGGCTCTGGATCTGGGCTCTAGATCTGGACCTGGGCTCTGGATCTGTTCCTGGGCTCTGGACCTGGGCTCTAGATCTGTACCTGGGCTCTGGGCTCTAGATCTGGACCTGGGCTCTGGATCTGTTCCTGGGCTCTGGATCTGGTGTGCAGGAAGTGATTACCCAGCATGCACCTGGGTTTGATTGACAGCTCACCTTTATAAACAGCTGCAGCTGCTAAGATGGTGTCTCTGTGCAGCAGAGACTTCCTGTTCCATGAGCAGTTACTCTCTGCCATACCTGCAGACATCATGACATCATCACCTTCATCATCATCATCACCTTCATCATCATCATCATCTTCATCAGACTGAGCAGGTCGTACCTTGCAGGTCCATCATGACCTCCATGATTCCTGGATAATGAATCTTAACCTCATCGATGTCCTAGAGGACACACAGAGGACAGAGGACACACAGAGGACACACAGAGGACACACAGAGGACACAGAGGACACACAGAGGACAGAGGACACACAGAGGACACACAGAGGACACACAGAGGACACACAGAGGACACAGAGGACAGAGGACACACAGAGGACAGAGGACAGACAGAGGACACAGAGACATTATGGCTCGGCACCACATGTTATCTGAATCGGACCATCAGAACCGGGCTCACCACAGTCAGCAGGCTGAAGCCGGCCTGTCCCAGCAGCTGTCCCAGGTCTGTGACGGAGGTGAAGGGGGACACGTGGGGGGAGAAGCCCCCCTCCCTCTCTGTCTCTGCCAGCTGCAGGGAGCACCTGAGCTCGTAGAGCGTGTCCCCGCCCAGCATGGCCCCGATGAACACCCCGTCCGGCTTCAGAACCTGCTGGATCTGACAGAACCAGGTCCTTTCAGTTTTCACTCAGAACCAGTTAGAAGGTCAAAGGTCAAAGGTCACCTGCTTCAGGGCTCCAGGGAGGTCGTTGGTCCAGTGCAGACTGTCAGAACACAACAGAACCAGACTTAGTAAAGGATCCGGATCAGAACACCACAGAATGAATGAAAAGGTTCTGGTCCTGTGCACTGAAGCGGGTCGGTCTGGACTCACGTCAGGCTGCTCAGAACCAGATCAAAGGAGTTCTCTTGAAACGGCAGAAACTCTTCATCGGCCAGAACCTGCTGGGTCCGGATCTCACTGGGTCTGTTGACTTTCTGAGGATCAGAGAACAGAACGGTTCTGGTTCTGGTTCTGACAGTAACATGTTCTGTGGGTCAGAACTCACCAGAGTCTGCAGGGAGGTCTCTGTCAGAACCAAACGCTGGACCACATCCTGAAACACAAGGTAGGGTTACGGGTCAGAAACCAGAACCAGGACCAGGTTCTGGGTTACGAGTCAGAAACCAGAACCTGGACCAGGTTCTKGGTTACGGGTCAGAAACCAGAACCAGGACCAGGTTCTGGGTTACGAGTCAGAAACCAGAACCTGGACCAGGTTCTGGGTTACGAGTCAGAAACCAGAACCTGGACCAGGTTCTTGGTTACGGGTCAGAAACCAGAACCAGGACCAGGTTCTGGGTTACGAGTCAGAAACCAGAACCAGACCAGGTTCTTGGTTACGGGTCAGAAACCAGAACCAGGACCAGGTTCTTGGTTACGGGTCAGAAACCAGAACCAGGACCAGGTTCTTGGTTACGGGTCAGAAACCAGAACCAGGACCAGGTTCTTGGTTACGA